GACACCCCTCCCTCCCTCCCTCCCCCTTGGGTTCCTGAGCCTTCCATCTGCTCCAGTTCATTAAGGAAAAGTAGGTGACTCACAAGCATGGCTACCTGAGCCGTGGGCAGTAACGGGGCACGTAGGACCCCTCTGCCATCCCCAATTAGGACACCTGGAACATAGTACTGTTGCAGCGAGTGGGCTCCGGAAACCATGGTCCACCCCACCAGCACCTGCACAGCTTGGCCATGGGGCAAGCTGGTTGGTGGACTTCGAGGGCCCCAGATTAGCATCTGTAATCCAGAGAGCAGTCTTCATCTCCCACCTCCTCCTGCTCTCCAGCTCCTCCATCACCCTGCTCACTCCCAGAGAAGCAAGTGGGGGTTTTCGGGAGCTGTACGTGATGCTGAGGCCATTCTTCCATGGAGGGTAACTGGTCCTCCTTTGGGACACAGCTGTCACAATGCTATGGTCTGAAAGGTGAAGCCACCCACAGAATTGGCCAGGGCTTCTATGACAAGGAAAATGACCACCAAGCTCCCTGTCACTGTTCCTTCTCAGGCCTCAAAGGAGGGGCTTTGGCTTGGGCAGCAACAGGGACACAGGTAGAAATCCCAAAGATCAAGAGACTCTCCAAGGGATCCCCAAGAATCAGTAGTTCACTTTTTCACTCATTCATTCCTTTCATGTACTTGAAGTGCGACGAGGCAGAGAAACAAGACAGGCCAGCACGGCAGACTGGGCATAGAGAAGCAAAGGACCATTATAGTGCAGTGCCGGAAGTGCTGCCAGCTATTGCAACGCCGTGCAAGGTTAGAAGCTGCAGTAACTTCTGCCCAAGAGACTCGGGAATGGTCTTAACCCAGGAGGCGACCTTTGATCTGGGTCCTGAGATATGAGCAGAAGTTCATGCGAGGACAGGGAAGAGAGGAAAGGATATTCCAAGGAGGTCATGTGCAATGGAATGGGATGCTCAAGAAATAAACAGTGGTGCTCAGAGAGGAACGGAAGACAGGAGAGAAGAATCTCCAGTGAGATGAGGATGAGGAGGTGGAGAGGAACCAGCCAGAAGGGGCTGGCATGTCCCACTGCGGGGCGGGAGAGAGGTTGCCTGTCCATGCCATAGGGAGGTGGGGTTGTCTGCATGTAATCCCCCAGGACAAGGGCGGTAATCAGGCCCAGCTTCCCACTTTGAAGACCACCAAGTCGCAAGTTCCCAGAGGAAGGAATCATGTTTTATTTAAACCCCTTAGCTCATGCCAAGAATGCAGAGGGGGCACACCCGGTGGAAGGGGTGGGGTGAAAGAGCAGTGAAAAGGACAGCTGCAGAACTGACCGTATGGAGACCAGACCTGAATTAATAGAATGGCCAAGGGGCATCACTGGCCATCCCATGAGGCATCTGAGGAGAGTGGCTGGCAAGCGAGGGAGCAGAGGGCCTGGGCTGTGGAACGAGGAGGAACTGTCGCAACCTGTATGGACTCCCTGTTTTCCTGCTTCCTCTTCTCTTACACCGGTCTCTTTCGCAGTTTTTGTCCTGTCATCCCCCAGCGACGACAGCTCAGCCTGCGAGGGCACCACATCACCCGCAGGCCCTGTGGCTGCAGCCTTGTCTGCCACCTGACAAGACCTACCCAGGAGGTCTCAGTTTAATGGCCGGTGCAGGAGGCAGCTTACATACGGTCCATCATGCTGTGGCTGGTCTACCCATGGTTTTTATTAGAGAAGCGTCTGCCATCTTGTGGCAAAGAGTGGGTACTGCCTGGGCCCCCACTGTCAAACCTGTCTTTTCTCTGCTCCCAAAGAGAGGTGCTGGGTCTGGGGTGTTCCCTGGCTTGGAGGGAGGTCCCAAGGGAAGGACAGTGATTGTGCTCATTGGCATCTGCCTCTCTGTGGGGACCCTGCCCTCCATGGCTTGTTTAGAGAAGCTTCTGGTGACAGTGGCCCCCAGGAAGGCCACTGTTGTGAGGGAGAGGAGTCAGAGCAGGCAGTGTGTGAGGCCACGGTTCTGTCCACCCTCAGGAAGGACAGAGCATGGATGTGGCCATGAGCAGAGACATAGGCAGGCTTGGGATATGAGCCTGGCTTGAAGGTGAAAGGGATGGGAAGGCATGGAGGACTTTGAAAACAAGCAGCCTCTGGTCCTTTGGCCACAGCAGGGAAATGTTGGAGTCAAAACAGGGTTCATCTCAGAACATGGCAAACTCATGTAGACAGACGGGGGTGTGTGTCTCTCACTAGCATCTGGTGGTGTGAGTGAGTACAGAGAGTGGTCAGATGTGTGTGTGCAAGGCTGGCCTTAGACCAGTATGGGTGCAGACTCCATTTACGTTATAAATCTGCAGCCTTCATGGCAACTTAACCATCCTCACTGGAATACTCCATTCCCACCGCCACCAGGGGTCCCAGAGCCTGCCTTCTGTCAGCATTTCATCCCCCACAATTGTGAGTGGTACTCTTACGTGCCAGCCTTGCGGATGCACCAGCCCATTCCCCTGCAGGGAGGTCTTTCCTAACTCTAATTCTAACCATGCCAGTTAGCCAAGCCCAGAGTTCTCATGGAGGTTCTGTGTCCTAAAGATAGTTCTGGTACCAAATGCTGGGTTAGCTGGGATTCAGTCACAGACACAGAAGTGCTTGAGGCATTTCAAGTTGGATGGATTTTACAAAGGGAGTTCGGTGTTGACAGAACTGTGAGAAGGGCTACTGAGAGGTCAGGGAAAAGCACTGCTGGATTTCAGGGTACCAAGAAGTTATAGAAATCGGGGCAGCAGTTGGCATGGTGGTTAAGGCACTGGACTCTAACAAGCTGACTGTGGTCTGAGTCCAGGACCTGGTGGCTTAAAAATCATGCTAGGGGTGTGCGTGCATGCTCAAAAGCCCAGGAGGAAAATGGAGGAGAAGGGATTGCAGCATGGCCATCCCCCAGGGGTGATTTCTCACTTTTCCTCTCTGTGACGAATGCCACACCCTATGGCAAAACAAAGAAACAAGCAAACAAGTGAAGTTACAGAAATTGCCAGAACATTGCTGGTGACTTGAATTGCCTACGTCATGGGAGTGAACAGCTCTCAGGAGAATGGCCAGGAGGGGCTGGCAGAGTCTCAAGTCTGTTTCCTACACATACCTGTGTCATCCTCACAGCTGTGCCTTGCAAATAATTGCTTCTCCTTGTATTTAGCCTGCCAGATTTCACGTGCATCTCTCATCGGTGGGATCAGAAGTGGGGCGCTGGCGATAGGCCCTGGGCAATGCAGTCGCCAGCTTTCCGCCTGCAGTACCAGGGCGCGCTGAGAATGTCAGGGATCGAGGCACAAGATCTGACACACACTTGTAAACGTGGGTGATAATAATAGAATTTCCCTCCCAGGGCTGTTGTGAGGCTAAAATTAACACGTGCGAAATCTTTGCACGGAGTGTGGCATATGGTAAGCCCTCAATAATTGCTAGTTTACAAAAAATTGTCAAAACTGACATTAGAATGGCTCCCCAGTCTCACTTCTAACCCCTGCATGAAAACTGGCGACTTCTGAGCCGTTCCCTCCTTGGCGAGGACCCCGTTCCTTTCTGTTCTGGGCCTGCTTGGCTTGAGGGTAGTCAGTCTGCCTCCTTCTGGCTCAGAGCACTGAACGGAGATTCAGGAGGGGGTGAACATTGTCAGAAAACCTGAAGCATCGAAGCATGTTGGGCATTAGTATCAGGTTCACGGTGCTTGGCGGATTTGACGACTTCATCTCACAGAGGCCAAGCAACAGAGTCTGGTCAATACCCTCATGAAAGATGGTCTCAGGACCAGCAGATGGCATAACCCTTATGTGGCTGGACTCCCACATGGCTAACCACGGTTCAAGTTCCGGACCCATTGGCTTCAACCTCACATCAGGAGAGTGTGTGTGCGCATGCCCAAAATTCAGAGAGGGGAATGAATGGAGGAGAAGAGATTTCAGCATGGCCATCCTCAGCAGGGGGAATTTCTCACTTTCTCTCTCTCTGGCGAGTGCACACACCCTATAGCAAAAATTTCTCAAAAAAAGAAGAAAAAAAGACTCTGCTCTGTAGCTCTGTGCCCAACAGAGTCCATGAAAACGGGGGTTGAGTTTGTCCTCCGTCCTAATGCTCAGTCGGCAACAGAAAGAATTAGGGCACAGCTGAAATCCAAAAGGGAAAAGAAACGAGCTCAAATCCACCGGGATCAATGTCTATTTCTTAACCCGCCCCAAATAGCTCTGCGCTCCTCCCCCGACCGTGTTTACGTGTTTCTTTCCCAGGCAGCAGATGCCACCAAACTTAAACTAGGTCACAGAGGGCAGTGACGAGCTGACATAAGTCCTCACGCCAAGTCCTCTGCTGACCTGACCCTCAGGCGCCCTGGCCTGGAGTTCACAACACAGGCCTTAAAGGAGCCCCTGCTGGCCAGGGAGTCTTAGCAGAGTCCCTGCTCCCTAGAACCAGCCTGAGAGTGGGGAGGCGTCCTGTGTGTGGGCACAAGGGATGGGAGTATCTGCAGCCTTCCCTGACTCTTCGTGCGCCCTCCCTCACTCTTACTGCACCCTCCTTCCTTTCGTCCTACTGCAGCCCTGCCTGAGTCCTGCGGGGTCACTTAGTCTCCCTCATGGCCAGCCAGGGGGGAGCCCCTTACCTGCTGTTTCACAGGAAGGGTTTTGGGGCCAGTTTCAAACGGATCCACAGGGTCCAAACCAGGGCTCCCAGCATGCACCTGGGGCAGTGTCATCCTCACAGCTGTGCCTTGCAAATAATAGCTTCTCCTTGTGTTTAGCCTGCCAGATTTCATGTGCATTTAAAGCAGACTCAAGAAACCTGCTTTAAACCCAAGTTCAATCCCCAGTCAATGAGGCAGCACTCACTAGTAAAGTACCTGCCCAGAGTCTCTCAGCTGGGACTTGGCAGAGCCCAGTCCCCAAAGGCCCCCAAGCCACGTATCTGTCCCCAGTCCTCTCAGAGGGTCTCCGTCCAGCCCTGGGTCCTAAGAGCACCTCTCTCTCTCCCTCTCTCCACAGGTTCTTTCAGAGCATAGCTTCGGGCCTATCACCACCGACATCCGGGAGGGACAGACTTTCTACTATGCGGAAGACTACCACCAGCAGTACCTGAGCAAGAACCCTGACGGCTACTGTGGCCTCGGGGGCACCGGCATTTCCTGTCCACTTGGTATTAAAAAATAATTCATCCCTGTGTGGCAGGCCCTTGAGGTTCCAGCAAAAGTGCTTTCAACCAATTGGGTAATGCTTTTGTGAATCACATCAGGTGGCTTTATAAAAATTGGGATTATGGAGGTATGATTTACAGGCAGTATAAAATTGATACAATGTAATTCGTCATCTAATAAGTTATAATAAGAATAGAATTGTGGAATTTTCTGGATCATCTGGGGTCTGAATGAAGATAATGGATATGCTGTGTTCACCCTTCTTGGACTCTGGGTGCTGGCCGTAGAAGCTAAGGGATAAGGCTGGGAGATGGTTGGACAGGATACAGGAGACGTGGAAATCCTTCTCTGTACCCCACCTGCCCTCCAGTGCCTTACATTGTGCAAACATTTATAGCCTCAATGAATCACTCACTGAAAAGCTTTACCAAACAGAGACAGGAGTGAGGGTTTTCTCTCCCTTCTCAGCCTCCTCTGGGCAGAGAACGAAGATGCGACTTAGCCTGTTGTGTTTTAATGCTTTGCTTACAGCTGTGGGAAACCCTGGTTCTAATAAAATCTGCAGTCCAATAACACAAACTGCCTGATGTCTCGTCTGCCTTTTGGTTGTTTGGGTACGATATTTCTAAGTGCGATAAGATCAATTTAAGAGCTCTAGAAGAGTTTGGAGGGCTAAAAGCCTTATAGTCATTTTCCCTCAAATAGGAACTATTATGATTGAAGTTTTGGGCAATTATGCACACCTCTAGTTCCTTGAAACTTTAGTGATAATCGTTGTTTTCCAGGTTCCTGTCACATCTGTCAGATCAGGGACTATTCTAGTTAGAGGAAGCAGATTCCTTCAGTCCTGCCCTGAAGAATTCTTATATTTAAGACAAGGAATTGGGGACATATGCAATAACCCTGTAAAGAAAGGAAGCTGACGTGAGGTCCTGATGAAAGAGATGAAGCTGATGAGTAGGAGAAGATAAGGGCTCTGTGGAGTTGTGTTCAGGCCTGTTTGAGCTCGGATGGGCAGGGAAGGCCTCCGTGGGGTGGTGAAACCTGAGAACTGAGTGACCTAAATGATGCTCTGATCGGAAGGAGCGGCGTATCAAGAATACATAAGTGGGAGAAGATCCATCTGGCATTGTCAGCCTTCTCACTTTGTTGCTTGAAGGAAAAGCTTCCCAAAAAGAAGGACCAGGAAGTTTAAATGGCAGGAATTTGAGAGGCAGAAAGCCAGTAGAGACAGTAGTGCGTGGAGAAGGGTATCGAGAGAGAGAGAGAGAGAGAGAGAGAGAGAGAGACCGTAGAAAACCAAATCATTTAGAACCTTCTAAAGATGTGGTAATGGGTTTTCCATTTCTTCTGTTGAATTGGTCACCCACTGTAGAGTTTCAAACACTTGTTTTCGCTCTCATTACTTTTCACCTGAGCAAATGGATTAATGGAGGTGGTATCTACTTGTGAGGGAGAGTTGTGGGGTGGAGATGAATTAATGAGTCATTCAGATTCGGCGGCACAATTTGAAGTGCTTTTCACACACCTACTGGAGATGTCAGTTTGTATGGGTCTCAAGCGTGGGAAGGATCTGAGAAGGAAAAATGTAAAAATCACCAGCATGGGGCCAGCATGTGGCATGATGGTTAAGGTGCTGGACTCTGACATGGCCAATCATGGTTTGAGTGCTGGACGCACCCAGTAGCTTGAAACTTATACCACGCATGTGTACATGTGTACCCAAAATCCTGATAGGAGAAGGAGAAAGGATTGTGTCATGGCCATTCCCCCAGGGGGTTGATTGGTTGATTTCTCACTCTCCCTTTCTCTGTTTCTCTGACTCTGGTGAGTACATGAGTCCAAAAACTAAAATAAATAAATAAATGGTGCCTTGGTGGTTAAGGCAGCTGGATTCCACATGGCAGCCTTCATGAGGGGGAGATGGAGAAATAATTGTGGCATGAACATTGCTATGGGGGATGTTTTCTCTCCTCTCTCTCTTCTTTCTCTCTCTCCTGTAAGTGCAAACACTGTCCAGTAAAATTTTTAAAATAATAAAAGATTCACCACCATACAGATGATGTCTGTGGCCATGGAACCAGCTGAGATCCTTTGCTGGGGAATATATATATATAGAGAGAGAAGTGTCTGAGCATTGAATGCTGGGTTGTTTCAGCACCCAGAGGTCAGTAACGGAGGAGCGAAGGAATAGAAGAGACAGTCTGAGGGGGGCACGTGAATGAGCATGAGCACAAGTTCCACCATGAGTCTGGGACAGCTTAGACCAGCTTCTACATTCAGGTCAGAACAAAATAGAAAACGACAAGGAGACGAGGTCCTTGCAATATTTCCAGAAGTGCAGTCCTCAAATCTTGGCCTCTTCTACAGAAGGAACTGGGTCTTTACCAACGTGACTCTGCACTGGGAAAATGGAAACAAGTCAGGCCTTCCAGCTCTAGGCTGATGCGAATCCTCGGAAATTTGGAATACCACCAAGGTCCCGGGCAGTTGGGTGAGGGGAGGTTTATAAAGACAGATGAGGGGGAAGGCCCTGTCACCTAGTGGTTAAAGGAGCAGGATCCCACACTGTCGATCATTGTTCAAATCCTGGTCCTGGTGGTTGAAAAACATGCCAGGTTTATATATGTGCATGTCCCAGGTGCCAGTAACATAGAGAAATGGTGGAGAAGGGGTGTGGCATGACCACGCCCCACTGCGAGTGTTTCACCCTCTCTTCTCCCATCTCTCTCTGGCGAGTGCATATACCCTTTGACAATTAACAAAGAAACAACAGATGGGGTCTTGTTCCCAGTGAGACTCAGAGCAGGTCTATTACTCTGAATAACAAGCCTGAAGTTATTTCCCTATAACCAGATGCATAGCATGTTCACCATGTCTCTTTTCTTGTAAGAATTATTTTACTTACTTTTATTTATTATTATTACTATTAATTTTGCTATAGGGCATATGCACCCACCAGAGAAAAACCAGGCCCTGGACAGGGGGCAGAGGTGGGGGACTAGTGAGAAAGCAAGCTGCCAGATCCAGGACTCGAACAGCTGGTGGCTATGTGGGACTCCAGTGCCTTAACCACCATGCCATCTGCTGGCTCAACCATGTTTCTGGCTTCTGTAAACCCAGCCTACCTGCCTGTGCCAGATATATACTTGTTATAGACAGCTCCGCAGTAAGGCTGAGCCTTCTTCACATTTACTTCCTGGGAGGAGTCCTCCTCCTGGGGATGCACTTTCTCTAATGCAAACCAGTCAGCCTATAGTTCACACCACCACCCACCTCTTTTATTGGGCTTTCACATTCCTGGCCACTATCTCTCTTCTTAATCACCCCAGAGCCAGACTCAACAGCTAGAGACAGCCCATGCCCACAGCCCGCTGACACTATCCACACTAGCTAAACCTGAGTCTGCTCTCCCTGCCTTGCCCATTCCTCCCTGCAAAAACCACAGCAGGGCTGGCCCCATAAACCCAGCAGTTAAGCACGTGGGCAACTGGGAATCGAGTCCTGGCCCTGAGGGCTTAAAATACCTGCTGGTACGTGCACACGTGCCAGGATCCTGACAGGGTGAATTGGAGGAAGAAGCCTTGGAACGTGACCAAGCCCCACTGAATGCTGCTTTTCTCCCTCTTTTCTTCTCTCTAATGTGTGCACACAAGTCCTCTGGCATTGAAAAACTAAGCAAACAAACAAACAAAAAAGACTAACCACAGTGCTAGCTCTTACCACAATGTCCCTTCCCCTCTGCTCTTGGCTGACCCCAGTGCTTCCCAGTGTGTGTCTCCACGTGTGGTGATAAGTCCCTTCTCTTAGGACATGTAGGTAACAAGCTGTCTTTTTTTTAGTTTTCACCATAGGGTGCATGCAGCAGAGAGTCAGAGGGAAAGTGAGAAATCACACACACATACCCTTCCCAGGTGGATGGCCACACTACAATACTTTCTGTTCTACTTTCCTCCTGGGATTGTGGGCATATGCACACACACAGTGTGATTTTTAAGCCACCAGGTCTGGGATTCAAACTTTGGTCAGCAATGTGGGAGTCCAGTGCCTTAACCACCACTATACCTGCTGGTCCCAACAAGGTATCTTGTATGCCATTTATCTCCTGCTCTGTTGACCTTACTACACCTAATAATAGAATCTATTGAAACATAGTTAGAATAAATATACCTACTGACAGAATCCCCATTTTAGTCCCCAAATCTGCTGGCTAGTCTCCCATACTTCTCCACTTCCAAGTTAGCAAAAAGTAATATATGCCATAATTTTGGAAGGGATTTTAAATATTGGTAAACCTCAGTGGTGCAGGGGTGGGAATTGTTGGACATCCCAATTTTGTCCCCCTGTTTGGCAAATGAAATTGTTTTCCTCTTCCAGTGTTGTGTCATGCCTGAGTTTCTTAGCATGTCCTCCATGTCTTCTTGAAAGTCATTATGCAAAATATTGAACTGAGCAGTTCATTTAGAGAGACCTGTCACTCGCTCAAGGTCTTAGATCATCAATTATAATTGGCATGACTTGTCATTCTCCTGCCACCCCATGACCCCCCCTCCCTCCAACCTCTAGCAGAAATTGCTGTGGGTTGTTGTGCTTTTTCCTGCTCAGTCCAGATACACTGTCAGATTTCACTACATGAAGGATTCCAGGAAGTCCCTGCTAGCCAGTCAGACTTGGCTTTCCAGATAGTCACAGAATTGCTCACTAATGCTTTGGACATAATGCTTTAACTTGTGGTAAGCTCACCTAACAGCATGCATTATGTTAGCCATAATGTAATGATCTGGAAATGGGAGAAATGCTTTGTCGAAGTCTAGAAATCCCACAGAAGCTGATGGAGTGAGCAACTGTTGGTAAGAGGCAGATGGACCTGGGTCCAGCTTCAGTGACATAGATGGTAGGGTGCCACTGCACGATGCTGAATCCACGTGGAAAGCCTGGGCTCAGATCCTGGGTCGACAAGGGTATGCTGGATGCTCATCTGTGTGCCTGTGGTCCTGGCTGGCTAGAAGACTGGAGGGAGGGTCGTGGTGTGGTGAGAGCCTGTCAAGGGTACCTGTCTCATTTTTCTCTCTCTCAGGAAAGAAAGAATGAAACTTTAATAAAGAAAACAAACAAAAAGCAACAGCCAGCTGGTGGTGTGAAAGTTAAGGTGGATCCCACATGCATCCAGCATACCCCTGTCGACCCAGGATCTGAACCCAGGCTTTCCACATGGATTCAACATCGTGCAGTGGCACCCTACCATCTATGCCACTGAAGCTGGACCCAGGTCCATCTGCCTCTTACCAACAGTTGCTCGCTCCATCAGCTTCTGTGGGATTTCTAGACTTCTGCCCTTGTCCATTGGTGACATCAGGGAAGACACAATCTTGGTGACCCAGTGTCTCACTTAGAACTCAGAATGCTTTCAATGAGCCTATAACCTAATCACCAATGGAAATGTTTAAAATTTTAGGGACAAAAAAGGGCATCTTGGAATAAACATATTGTACCAACCTTGCACATAGTCTGCATCATCATACATCTCTATGGGTCACCTTCCTTCCCAGCACTACATAGCTGCTCATTGGCTCTTGGAGGTGGAAGGAAGCAAAAGGAGTGGTACTGGATAGAGGTTCCTCAGCTCCTTGATAATTATAAAAATATCTTGTACATCAGATTATTTATCAATGACTTTTAGAATTGCTTCTAGTTGCTCTTTTAGCCCTTTTTTACCTCAAGGTTTTATTTTGGATGGTTTCCATTTTTCTGTTGCTATATTTTCAAGTTCACCAATCTTTTCTCTCACAGTGTTGAATCTGCCATTAATCCTCCCGGTACATTGTTTTGTTTTGTTTTGTTTTAAATCTTTGACATTGTGGTTTTCATACCTTGATTTTTAAAATCTCTTGACCTTAGATTGGTGACTTAATATATCTTCTAACTCTTTAATAACATGTTCAATTTTTTTCCAGCTTCTTGAACATATTCAATATTTAGTATATTTATAATAGTTTTACAATATTCATCTACTAATTCTATTATCTGTGTAATTTCTGGGTCTCTGTCTATTCTATTATGTGTCTATCATTTTTGCTTGCCTGATAATTTTTATTTTTGGATTCTAGAGATACTGTGAATTTAATTGGGTTGTTGGAAACGTGGTGCAGTTTTGCATAGAAAAATACGTCACAACTTTTCTGATGACCCAGTAACTTTTGGGGCACTAGATATTTTGTATTCTTGTAAATATCCCTTAGCCTTATTTTGTAACAGTTATCTGTAAAACATTTGAGACTTTCAGAACTTGCCTTTAGTATTTCTGAAGCGAAACCAGGGAAGCATTTAATCAAGGCACAAAAACCTACTTAGAAGTACTCTAGCCCGTGCCCCATGAGTTACGGAGATTTCTGGTTGGTAGAAACAGGAACTATTTCTAGTTTTACGTGAGTTCTAGAGATTGTTCTTATATACTCTTTTAGATAGTTATTTCCCCAGTCTCAGAATATGAAAGAATCATATAGGCAAGTCCTCCTTATCCGTTAGACAGACTAGCACAGTGTCTAGGGCCAACAGTATCCTCAGGGTCTCACAAAAATGTTTTAATATATGCTAATATGTTCCTCTTTATAGCATGAAGTTGTAAAGTATGTGGCTATGTGGATGACAGAGACCATGAAGTCATATGTGGCTAGGGGCCCACAGATCAAAATGTAGCTTGGCGTGTGGGTGGCGTAGACCAGATCCCCTTGGCTGAACCCTGGGCATAGGCATTCTCTTTAACCAGAGTAGCTGCAGTGATGAAGTTGGCCGAGCTCCCGATGGAGCTGGTGTCCTGGAACACAAGCTGAGAGCAAAGCCTGAGCCCTGGGTTTGGCCCACAAGATCAGCAAGAGAAAGAAGAGCAGGGTGGCCAGAGGGAGAAAGTCAGAGAGCCTGAGTGGGGTAGCCTACAGAGCAGGGCATGTGAAGTCGGCATACCCCCGAAAGGTCACTTACATTTCTCAGCCTGAGTTTCCTGGTCTCTAAAAAGGAGTTTGTGCTGTCTTGCAGAGACTCAAGGAGATCTGTATTCAAGTTTGGTGTAGAGGACAACATTCTCTACAAATGTTTGTTATTAGAGAGACAAGAAGCTTCTGCATAACAAAAACCAAGATTCCAATGAGGGGGACATGTGAAAGTCACAGAATGACCAAACTGGGTGAGATCCTTGGGCCACTTCATTCAATTTTTCCCTGGGAAGAAATCCAGATGTCAAAGACATGGGAGACACTAAAGTGAAGGGCCTGGACAAGGACTCCCCTGTCATCCCCACTGCTGCAAAAGTCTGGGAAATAAAGCTTCTGAAATTTCAGGCACTGTAATTCTGGAGCGATTGGGAGTACCAGGACAGTACTCAGAACAGAACCCAGCATAGAGTTAAGTGTGAGTCACGATAATAGTATTTCCCCCATCTGGTGGTTAAGGGAAGCTCTTGGGGAGCCTTAGCCTAGTGCACTCATCTGAGAGTGCCTCAGAATTTAACAACCTACAAAGACAATTTTTCTTTTTCTTTTTCTTCTTTTTTTAGAGAGGTTTTTGCTATAGGGTGGATGCGCTCGGCAGAAAGACAGAGAGAAACAGAGAGACAGAAAGCGAGAATTCACCCACCAGAGGGTATGGCCACACCAAAATCCCTTCTCCTCCAGTCTCCTCATGGGATCTCAGACACACACGCACATGCCCCAGGCGTGAGTTTAAGCCACTGGGTCTGGGACTTGAACCGCAGTTGACTACATGGGAGTCTAACAACATAGTCATTATGCCAACTGCTAGTCCACAAAGACAGTTTTCTTGAGATACAGTTAGAATGACTAACTCACCAATCTCATTTCTTCTTTTTAAAAATCTTTTTAAAAATAATTATTAGTATTATTTTGAATTTGATCAGAAAGTAAGCTGCCAGATTTGGGACTTGAACTGCAGTTGGCCATGTAGGAGTCCAGCACCTTAGCCACCCACACAACCTTCTGGTTCTCTTTATTCTTTTTTTTTTTTTTTTTAAGGCAGAGTTTCTTCATATCGTGATTCTTCTGCTTCAGCTTTGCAGCTGAGATGACAGACCTGTGCCACCACGCCCAGCTTTTTTTCAGTCTTGCTCTGTTCCCCAGGCCAGCCTCGAGCTCATAATCTTCCCATGTGGTCCCAGTCCATGGAGCACAGTATCTCAGCTCCACTCCCCACTGCAGTGGGCCCTCAGGCTCATTTCTAATCCCTGTTAGGGAGCTGGCTGGTTTGCTTTGACCTATTTGGGCCTTGATCAGGATATGTGTCCTTATTATCCAGTTTCAGGACCCTCAGTTTTCTTTATTCATGTTCAGAGGGTGAAGGAAGATTCAGAATTCCAGATGAGTACTAAGGAAAAAAAGAAGAAGAAAAGTGAATTAAGGGAATAAACTCAATGTTGAGACCAGAGCTACCACTCTTCGAAGGCTTCAGTTCTTTACTCTGAGCAGAATCAGCCAGAGTCTAATTCTTGTATGAACGCACAAGTCCAGGATCTGTCCTCACCCCTCTGTCCCACATGGAGTTAGTGGAACCAGAGTTGAGTCTTTGTCATTTCGTGCTCAAATACCCTAGCTGACTTGTAACAAGAAAGAATTGGGGCACGGCTCAAATACTAAAGTGGAAAAGAAACAGGATAAAAATCCATGGGGAGGACTTTCTATTTCTTAATCTGTCTCCTGTCCCAAATAGTTCAGCTCTGGTCCCCCAATTTGTGTTTCTGTGTTCAGTTTCTTTCTCTTGCAACAGATACCATCAGACTGACAGTCCCTAAACTGGGTCAGAAAGTGGTGATGAATTGACATAGTCACTCAGGCTACATCATCCCGCCGCCTCACTCCCCCTCCAGTTTCCTGGCCTGCTTTTTAGGCATCTTAAAGTGGGCCCTGTTTTCCAGAACTATAGGGGCTTAGAGAGCCCTCTGTCCAGCTCCAGGGATCTCAGTTTGCAGATTAATCACCTTGTGCCTGGAGGAGAGAGGAAGGTAAATCTTAACTGTCTTCACTTTTTTCCCTTTCCCCAGTCCCAAGTCCTCTCATTTTCATTCCACTATAGCACTAATACAGTAATCAATGGACAATCATCCACTTACTACAGCAGCCAGGAAACCACACTTCTCTTCCGGAATATCTAATCCAATGGTGCCTATTTCAAACAAATAGGATCCAAGTTAGAGCTTCCCAGCATGCAGGTGTGATAGTGGTAGAAAATAGGTTTTAGTGTCAAACAAACCTTATTTCAAATTTCAGGGTCAAGAGGTCAAGAGAACTAAGTGACTTGCGCAGCGTAATGCAGACAAGGGCAGAGTTCAATGCTAAGCCTTTCACTCCTACTCCAGTGCGTGACAGCGTCCACCCTCCGCTGCTTCCTTTCAAGCTCGCACTGCCTCTGAGTATCTTGCTTTTCCTTGTCCTCTTTTAAGAATCTGTGTCCAAAATTTTTTCTCTTGAAGCTGTCCTTTAAGAGAATAGATATCTCAGACTTATAACTACTATTTGAGAGTAAAAATGTTATTTTGTACAAAAGATGTGCATCAAGAGTATTGAAGCAAAAGTCCTGGTGCATGCTGTGAACTTGGGGGCAGACAATTTTCCCTTTCAATTGTTATTAAAAATCATCTATTTCACTTTGGGTAGGGTCCTATAAGTTATAGCAGGCCAGTGCTTCTACCATATCAACAGAAAGAGCTGGATAGATTTTTAAAAATCATAGCTTAGGAAAACTGCGAGGGGAATGAAGACTTAATGAACTAAAATTACAGAGAAGCAGCTCTGTTACAAGATGAGCCAACATTGCCAACGACTTTTTGTTCCCTCTCTTCCCTGGGGCTGGGGGGCAGTAATTCGTCAATTCTCTCTTCAGGCTTATAACAGCCTTGGCCCAGAATGAAATCATACATAGCGACAAACAGAAACCAGGAGAGCTTTTAGCAGTTGCGTGGGTGTGGGGAGAAATTGGAAATTGAGAGGCCAATTTCAAGCAATGTGGATACCTGGAAAGCTAGACTAACGCTTTCTAAAAGGCAAAGGAAACAGACCTTGTCATTTCCAGTGCTTAGAAAGCAAAGACCAACCCATGGAAGGAGACTGCTTCAAGATCGTTTCCCACCTCCTCCTCTAGAATGATGCCAGGTTGAGCCGCCTGGGGCAGAGGCTGGAGATCCAGGCAGGAAGTCCCAGACCTGCAGACTTTCAAGATAGAGGCACCTAAGACCTTCTGAACTCTCCATCAGGAGCTTAAAGGGCCATGCCCAGGAAATAAGGATCAGTGAGAGAAATACTGAGGCTGAGATTTGCCTGCACAGAGCCACCAGCCAGCTAAATCCCTGACTGGATTGAAATGATCAGTCTATTTTATCTGCCAAGAGGACAAGGAGATTCTCTGAGGTGGAAGACAACAGCGTGGGGGCATCTATTTTTTTTTTCAAAGTGATATCGTGTATTTAATTAAATTGCATTAAAATTTTAGAAAATCATTAACCATACAAAGAGCAAGGAAATATAACTGTACAGTGTAGACACATTGACATTGCCCATATGGATTGAAAAAGAAAGGCAACTATTTGGCTTTGTATATTTTGTTACATATTGAAAAATACAAACTCAAAAGGGTTCTAAATAAAATAATAGAAACGGTGTCAACACTGACCAAAAACAAGCTGATAAAGCTATACTAATATTGAAGTTTAAGTCATGAATGCAGGCAGAAACATATACGATTCAGACATTGAAAGTAGCAGTCTTTAGGATAACCACAATGAATATGTTCAATAAAATGGAAGCAAGGTGGGCAAAATGAATGAAAAGAGTCAGAAATTCAAAACCCAACTATGAATTCCAAGGGTCCAATTAGGTTTATAGAACTGAAAACCCTAATACCCGAAATTAATCATTGACTAGGTGGTTTCGATCGCTGATGGAATACAGTAGAACAGACTTGATTAACTGGAAGACAGGTCGAGTGCCAAGGCTGAGTGCCAAGAGACAAGCCAAGGCAGCACTGATATGTCCATCACATGGCTACTAGGTCGTCAGGAAAGTCATGACATATTTTTCAGTGCTTTCTGTGCAAAAGTGCATCATGACTTTCCCAGCAACCCAATAGTTTCAGAGGGAGAGGAGAGAAAAAGAAAGACAAACATCAATATTCAAAAGTACTGAGTGAGCGTTTTTCCAAACGAAGTAGCATCCATCCCTATATTCAAGAAGCTCAGAGAACCTCAAGCAAGGAAAACATAGAAAACCACAATTAGGTGTCTTATAGCAAAACCGCTGAAAACCAAGACAGACAAAATCTTACAAACAGCCAGAGGGGAGGGAAAAAAGAGGGAAAAAAGAAAAACACATTACCTTCGGGGGAATAATAAAAATGACAGCTGACTTCCCAACAGAAATGATGAAAGCTAGAAGATAATGTAATGACATTTCTAAAGTGATGAAAGAAAAATAAGAGACGATCTAGAATCCTAGCCCAGTAAAATATCTTTCAAAAGTGACGGTGAAAAATAAAAGTGTTTTGAAGCAAGCGAAAATAGAGGGAATTTGTTGCCAACAGGCCTGCATTAAAAACTAACAAAAGAGAGACTGGTAGAAGAAAAATGAATCTGAGTGGAAATTTAAAATGCAGGATGGAAATAATAAAAAGCGGGATGAGTAAATGTGTAGGTAAACACAAATGAATATTTATTGTACTAAGCAAAAAATGAAAATGTCTTGCAGAATTTAAAAATCTATATAGAACCAAGATGCATAATGTCAGCAAAGCAAAAGGGAGGAGCCAGTATACTGAATTCAAAGGTTCTAAACTTCTGCTAGGATCAGGAGAGTGGTAAGGTAATTGTACTTTATAAGGCTCGAATAAGTCAATAAGACTTAGTTTAATCTCTAAAAATTATAAAATATGTGCCACGTAGCAAAAGTTAAAGATTATAATGGACCTGAAAAGTTCCTCTTGCTTAGTGACTTCTGCTATGGTTTTAATGTGTTTAATTGATGTATTAAAATTTGGTGATCCAAGGTCAGTAGGTGACATTGTGGTTAAGGCGCTGGATTCCCACATGGCCAACCACAGTTTGAGTCCCAGACTCAGTGACTTGAAAAATCATGTCAGGTGCAGGTGCACGCGTTTGCTAAATCCCGAGAGGAGAAGGGAAGAGAAGAAATTGCAGTGTGGCCATCCCCTCTGGGGGGTGATTTCTCACTTTCTGTCACTCTCTCTCTCTCTCATCTCCCCGTGTCTCTCTCCAGAGAGCACATGTGCCCTGTGACAAAAATTTTAAAAAAAAGAAATTACCTAATTTTTTTTAAATTTGGTGACCCATTGTAATGGTGTTGGAAGAATGGAAACCTGATCTGACTACGGTGTTAAAGGTGGATCCTTCAGAGATGATTAGGGGATTAGACTAAGTAGGGATTTCATAAAGCATGGTAGCTTTATGCAAAAAGCATGCAGAGACACAGAAGTGGACACAGACACACACGAACCCTTACCTTGCGATGTCCTGAACCTGCAGAGTGTCCCCACCAACAAGAAGACCCTCACCAAGTGCAGCCCCTAGACCTTGGAATGCCAATACCATGAGCTAAATAAAACTCTATATTTAATAAACTACTCAGTATGGCATTCGGTTGTTAGCAACAGAAAAATGGACTGAAATAGTATTGCAGCCCTTACAACACATTTCTGGTGTGTTTGTGGTGGTGCTGCTGTAAGCAAACCTATTGCACGACCAGTTACATGGGACTCTAGCATACAATCCTCTGCAGCATGTAACAACTGGGAATAATAATAAACGACTATGTTACCAGAACATTTATTCACTATATTATTTAAATGTTTAAAGTAGAAAAAAAAAGCTTATAGAGCATGGATATAAAGAAAGGCAATATTTTTGTAGAGCTGTAGGATGTGTTTGTATATTAAACTGGGTATTATTATAAATGGGTCAAAAAGTAAAAAAAAAAAAAAAACTGTAAACTAAAATAAGTTACAGTAAGCTAAGGTTAAGTTGTTACTGAAGAAAGAAAAACACTTTGTTATAAATTTAGTGTGGCTTAAGTGCCCAGTACTTATAAAGTCTACAGCAGTGTACAGTAATGTCGTAGGCTTTTACATTCACAAACCACTCACTGAGTCACCCAGAGTAACTTCTAGTCCTGCAAATTCCATTTACGCCAAAAGTCCTCTAGAGGTGTACCATTTAAAAAATAATTGCTATTATTGTTTATTTTTTTTAACTTAACCAGAGGGACAGAGAGAGAGAGAAAGGGAAAGTTAAGAAAGCAAGCCACCAGGTCCGGGACTGGCACTGTGGTTGGCCATGTGGGAGTCTAGCACCTTAACTATCACACTGCCTGCCGGCCCCTACGTATACCACTTGTTATCTTCACATGGTATGTTTACTATATCTTTTCTTTAAATTTGTTTAGATGCACAAATATACAATGTGCTGTCATTGCCTGCAGTCCTCATTAGAGTAACACGCACAGGTTTGTCGCTATAGCCCTATAGCCCAGGTGTGTGGTAAGCTCTCCCATCTAGTTTGTGTATGTACAGTCTCTGAGGTCCATCTCAAAAAGCTAGGAAAAGAAGAACAGTTTTAATGAAGTTAAGTAGAAAAAAATAAAATAATAAAAGCAGAAACTAATTACATCTTTAAAAAACGTAAAGCCAATCAATAATTATATAATTGAGTCAGTAATTACAAAATTGTTTATCATGTGTAAGCTCAATCATGACCAAAGAGAGAAAAAAAATAAAAAAAACTAATAGAGATGAAAAGAACAGAGCTATATCTTCTACAGGTATCCAAATATAAGAGAATTTTATGAACAAATTCACTACAAAACATTTGGTGAGTTGGAAAAATTGAATGCCTCAAAACTTACAACTTGGGAACCAGCAGTTAGCATAATGGCTATGTCGCTGGACTCCCACATAGTCGACCGTGGTTCGCATTCCAGACCCGGTGGCTTAAAACTCACACCGGGCGCGTGTGCGTGCGTGCCCAAGATCCTGAGAGGAGAATGGAGGAGAAGGGATTGCGGCGTGGCCATCCCCCCTGGGGGGTGATTTCTCACTTTCTGTCTCTATGTCTCTCTCTGTCTGTCTGGTGAGCGCACACGCCCTATAGCAAAAACCTCTCCAAAAAGAAAAACAAACAACAACAACAACAACAAAAAAAACCCAAACTTACAACTTAATGAACGTGACCAAATCAAAAATAGAATTTGAATTATCTTATATCTTTTCAAGACATTGATTCTGATTATAAAAATAGCAAAACAATCCTTGGATTCAGAGTAATCAATTAGTGAATTCTTCCAAACACCTAAGGAAGAAAGAACATAATCTGGGGAAAATTCCTCAAAAACAAAAACAAAAAAAAAAAGAAGGAAGAATTTCTCAATTGTTTTTGTCCATCCAGAATAACCTTGATACCAAAACATAGCAAGTAA